TTAATGGAGCTGTAATTCTCCCTGTAATAGAAACTTTGTTGACATAACCTTGCCCTTCACTTAGTGTAAAAGTGTCCATTCCTGGAGTATTTGGAAAAATATTAGAGGTATGCAAAGCCAAAAAAGAAATCTTGTGGGCGTAGCAGGTAAAGCTACCACCTGCAGTGCTGGCATCCCATATGGACCCTGGTTGGAGTCCTGTCTGCTCCACTTCCAATCCATCTCTCTGCTATGGCCTGGGAAAGCAGTAGAAAATGGCCAAAGTCCTTGGACCCCTGAACCCACATGGAGACTCAGAGAAAGCTCCAGGCTCCTGGGTTTGGATTGGCCCAGCTCTGGCCATTACAGTCATTTGGGGAGTGAACCAGAGGGTAGAAGACCTCTCTCTGTCTCTCTCTCTCTCTCTGTCTCTCTCTGCCTCTGCCTCTCTATAACTGCCTTTCAAATAAGTAAATATATCTTTAAAAAAAAGAAGTCTTATTCTAGAATATTAAATTTTTCCCTTTTTAAAAGATTTATTTATTTATTTGAGAGTCAGAGTTACACAGAGAGAGGAGAGGCAGAGAGAGAGAGAGAGAAAAAGAGAGAAGGAGAGAAGTCTTCCATCTGATGGTTCATTCCCCAGTTGGTTGCAATGGCCGGAACTGCGCCGATCTGAAGCCAGGATCCAGGAGCTTCTTCCAGGTCTCCCATGCGGGTGCAGGGGCCCAAGCACTTGGGCCATCTTCTACTACTATCCCAGGCCATAGCATAGAGCTGGATCGGAAGTGGAGCTGTCGGGACTAGAACCGGCACCCATATGGGATGCCCGCACTTCAGGCCAGGATGTTAACCCACCACACCACAGCACTGGCCCCTCTAGAATATTAATTTTTCTAAAAAGTATAGAATAAGTGGTAGAACATTTTGCATTAAAACAGGTAAGACAGTTTTATGGAAGAAAGTTCAAAATGTGCAGGGATGTTTAAGCTAAAGTATAAGACTTTGAAGAAAGTCAGTATGCCTAACTCAATAATATTTTTGTATATATAATTTATTAGAAATATTATTGAACATAAATTAATAAGATGGGTATAACAGTGAATGTCAAATCTTGAGTTTCCTTTATTGGCAGATACTTCTGCATTTAAAGTCTGCATTAATAATCTTACTCATATTAACTATGCTAAGTTGCCACATGGAAGCCATGTGTATCTTTTGATAGGCCTAATTAAGAGTGCTGCTCTTTTTTTTTTTTTATAGATTTATTTATTTACTAGAAAGTAAGAGTTACAGAGAGAGAAAAGGAGAGGCAGAAAGAGAGAGAGTTCTTCCATCTGCAGGTTGACTCCTTAATTGGCCACAATGGCTGGAGTTGCTCTGATCCGAAGCCAGGAGCCAGAAGCTTCTTCTGGGTCTCCCACGCAGGTGCAGGGGCCCAAGCATTTGGTCCATCTTCTATTGCTTTCCCAGGCCATAGCAGAGAGCTGGATGGGAAGTGGAGCTGCTGGGACTCAAACCAGGGTCCATATGGGATGCCGGCACTACAGGAGGTGCCTTTACCCACTAGGCCACAGAGCTGGCCCCTCTCTCTGTTCTTAATATAACTTGTTGGGGCCGGCGCCGTGGCTCATTTGGTTAATCCTCTGCCTGCAGCGCCGGCATCCCATATGGGCACCAGGTTCTAGTCCCAGTTGCTCCTCTTCCAGTCCAGCTCTCTGCTGTGGCCTGGGAGGGCAGTGGAGGATGGCCCAAGTGCTTGGGCTCCTGTACCTGCATGGGAGACCAGGAGGAAGCACCTGGCTTCTGGCTTCGGATCGGTGTAGCGCTAGCCATGGTGGCCATTTGGGGAGTGAACCAACAACAGAAAGAAGACCTTTCTTTCTGTCTCTCTGTTTCACTGTCTATAACTCTACCTGTCAAATAAATAAAAATTTAAATATATATATATATAACTTGTTAATTTTATAGCCTTCCAGAGCATAATAGTTACTAAAGGAGGGTCTAATCACAGCAGCATAAAGGAAATACCTTTATTAAAGACCTGCTTAATAATGTGCAACAAATATTTCAAACATATCCCAGAAACTAAATTTAGAAAGTAAATTTAGGGTAGGACACTTTATGTTTTGAATAAAGCCCATTGCAGACTCTGGCCTTATGAATTTACTTGTACCAACATTTTTGCCCTCACTGATTCCCCAGAGATTTTCTTGGATCTCCTCAAGACCACCAAGGCGAGTGAGTAAATGTTGATGTGCACCTGTTTTTTTCTGACACAGCCAGGCTTGAGAAATAATCTCTGTATTTATGTTGAGTAGAATTTGGTGTTCAGCTTTTATGTAACTGCTTTTGATAGTCCTGGAGCATTTCTTGATAAGCAAAGAAATCTCAGGTGCATTCAAAATTTTCATGACTTTTTTGAGTCAGATTGACACTACAGAAAATGTCTTTTGAGTCCCTTTAGGGTACCCTATAGTGAATAAACTTGGTGTGATTATTATTTTCCTACAGTAGGCATTCAGTAAATTATTTTAAATAAGTAAGTGAAAACAAGAGTCCTCTATCCACTTACAGATTTCCCTCTTCAGTCATATCTTCAAGATTTTACTAAACAGGGAAAGATTTTACTACCTATTTTCCCACCTTGACAGTGTTTATTCTTCCCTCACAGTCCATAGCATCGTTTATTTCATCTTCACTTTATGCAAAATCCTGAAGTTTCATGACTTCCTTTTTTTCACATTTATCTATTATCATTCCAATTTTTATATCTTTATATTTTTTAATATTTCTGTTATATATTTTTCTTCTTCCTGGGAACATAGCTTTTGCCTTGATTATACTGCTGTATGCCTCATACCCTGACCAAATCTTTGGTAATTTCTTTATGAATGCTTTCCATATTTTTAATGGCATATGTACGATAACATAATATTTATAATGTGGTCAAAGAAATTTAGACTTACAGCTTGAAGAAATTTTTAGAAATGTTTAGTCCGGGCTTTCCCTTTATGAATGAGAGTTCTGATGCCAAAGTTACTAAGAAGGATGTGAGTTAGCACATGCTTTGTTGTTTTTTTATTAAATTTTGAAAAGATTTGTTTATTATTTATTTGAAAGGAAGAGTCAGAGAGAGAGAGAGGAGGCAGAGATGGATCTTCCATCCGCTGGTTCACTCCTCAGTTGGCCACAACGGCCAGTGCTGAGCCAGACTGAAGCCAGGAGCCAGGAGTTTCATCTTGATCTCCCACGTGGATGCAGGGGCCCAAGGACTTGGACCATCCTCTGATGTTTTTCCAGTCCATTAACAGGGTTCTGGATTGGAAGTGGAGCAGCCATGACTCAAATTGGTACCCATATGAGATACTGGAGTCGCAACAGCTTTACACACTATGCCACAATGCTTGCCCTACACGTGTGCTTTAGAGTAGCCACAAGCAAGAAAGACATAATAACCTGGTAATAGAGAATAAATCCCAATCATATGTGTATTTGTGTTTGGTTGTTTGTATTCCTTGTATATATATCAGTCTTAGAGATTACCCTCTTAAAAAGAAGGATCTGGGTCCCATTCCTTGGCCTAGTATGCTAAACATACATGATATGGATTGGGACAATTCCAATTGGAATTGGAAGCCAGGATAAACAAGAAGTAAGCCTGTTTTTTGAGAAGTGCTGTGTGCCATGTGCTTTCACAGAAATTATTGTAAAGACAAGATGCAGTGAACTCTTGAATGTTAAAAATTCTGATTTTCATTTATTTATTTCATTGGTTGTAATATACCAGAAAACAAGCAAGAAAGAAAAGCCTATGGGATTCATATTAATTGAAAGTTGCTCTGGTATAGTATATTTAGTAGCTTAAAGAGAAGGTTTATATTCTATTTATATTTTTTTTTCACTGTGCACTTACTCCCCATGTAGGATCTCTGTCCTTAATGTGTGTGTGTGTGTGTGTTTAACATTTATTTAATGAACATACATTTTCAAAGTACAACATATGGATCACAATGGCTTCCTCCCCCCATACTTCCCTCCCACCCACAACCCTCGCCTTTCCTGCTTGCTTTCCATGCCTGAAATACTCTCATGGGCTTCTCAGCCAGATCCGAATGCCTTTAGGGCTGATTCTGAGGCCAGAGTGCTGTTTAGGACATCCGCCATTCTATAAGTCTGCTGTGCATCCCGCTTCCCATGTTGGATCATTCTCTCCCTTTTTGATTCTATCGGTTAGTATTATTCAGGCACTAGTCTTGTTTATGTGCTCCCTTTGACTCTTAGTCCTTTCATTATGATAAATTGTGAACTGAAATTGATCACTGGTACTAGTGAGATGGCACTGGTACATGCCACCTTGATGGGATTGAATTGGAATCCCCTGGTATGTTTCTAACTCTACCGTTTGGGTCAAGTCAGCTTGAAGATTTCCCAAATTGTACATCTCTTCCCTCTCTTATTCCCACTCTTATATTTAACAGGGATCACTTTTCAGTTAAGTTTCAACACTTAAGAATAACTGTTATTAATTACAGAATTCAACCAATAGTATTAAGTAGAACAAACAAACAAACAAATACTAAGAGGGTAAAGTAAAATTGGCTGTGTGTATTTAGTAAAATATTTAATATATGTGTTGTGTGTTTCACTGACAGGATTTAAATAAAAGTAGGAAAAGTGTCTAAATCAAAACATTTATTTGCCAGTTTTGATAATGAAAAAATGAAACCTGTGCTATAAACATTGGAATATTTTCTACTCTCAATTATAATTCCTACATAGGAGTTTCCGTATTTTATGTTTCTGATAATTAGGAACATTCTTGATGTCAAAATCGCATACATGTTTTGTTACAAAGGTGAGGAACATTGCCTTAAACAAAACAAAAACAAATTTAGAGTATACCTGAAGAATTTCACTTACCTTTGGAGGAAATATAGTTTTGGTAAACTGGGCTGTAGGCATGTATTTAATTTTATTTGCTTAGGTGTTTTTAGTGTTCATTTTTGTATCCCTTTCAGAGTAAGTGAAGAAAAGGAAGTAACAGAAGAACGACTGAAAGCTGAGCAGGAAACATTTGAGAAGAAGATCCGGCAGTTAGAAGAACAGAATGAACTGATCATCAAAGAAAGGGAAGATATCCTTTTTGAAAGTCCTCTTTCTTAATGTGCGCAAAGTTTGACTCTTTCATGAAGAAAATGTAAACTCCAGAGAAATAATTGTTCTAATTTATAACGGGGAATAAATCTGCATGTGTTGCCATTTCCAGGCAATCAGAATGGCACTTCACAGCATGTGCCATTGCTTCCTTTGTGCTTGATAAGGCCATCCAGCTGTTCAGCTGCTGCTGTTATGCTGTGAAGCACATATTTGTCAACTAAAAAAGACAATAAGAAATTGAACATTAAAATGTAGTGTGGGAACTTTATTAAATTCTGTTTCACTACTGTGATTGAGCCTGAACCCTCCTTGTATTTGGTATTGTCCCTAGCTAAAGCTTTGACAATCCTAAGGAATTCTGCTCTGAAATTTAAAAAAAATCCTTTGTTATGTATAGATGTGTTAATTGATAAGAATTTATATTGCAGAACAAAACCCCCAAACCATTCTCATGGGACAAATTGTTGGGTTTGGAGCTAGAGGGAGGGGGTGTGTGTAAATATGTACATATTGCATTGTTTGTAAGAATGTCAAGTGGAAACAGATATTTTAACTTAAAAGTTGTATGTGGAGGGGTCTGTGAATTGAAATAAGCTTATTTCAGCCATTCCTTTTGAATGGGTAGAATGACTTACCTTTGGGTGTTTTATGTAGTTGCATTGATAGAAAAATGACTGTCCCTAATGTTAAAAGAGTCGGTTCAAGGGCCGGCGCTGTCGCTCAATAGGCTAATCCTCCACCTAGCAGCGCCGGTACACCGTGTTCTATTCCTGGTCGGGGCACCAGATTCTGTCCTGGTTGCCCCTCTTCCAGGCCAGCCCTCTGCTGTGGCCTGGGAGTGCAGTGGAGGATGGCCCAAGTGCTTGGGCCCTGCACCCCATGGGAGACCAGGAGAAGCACCTGGCGCCTGCCTTCGGATCAGCGCGGTGTGCTGGCCGCAGCGTGCCAGCCGCGGTGGCCATTGGAGGGTGAACCAACAGCAAAAGTAAGACCTTTCTCTCTGTCTCTCTCTCTCACTGTCCATTCTGCCTGTCAAAAAAAAAAAAAAAAGTCAGTTCTGCCAGCTAAATCAGCATGTGAATGCTTGAAAGAATCCTTGTCCTTACTAGCAGTGTCATCATTAACTTGATTATTAATAATTACTTAAAATATTCTACAAGTATCAAAAATGGTCATAAACTGACAAAAACTATACTTTTGTGAATACTTAAGAGAAACGGAAGCATAAAGATAAATTAATTAGGTTCAAAAACAAGACTATATATAGAAAGTGAATTGTGAATTTCTGTTTTCAAACAGTAGGAGTATATGACAGGAAATTAATCGGAATTCTCAGACTTGATTTGTTGAGTAGAACGTTAATAAGGCTTATTGACTCCATATTTCTAAAGCTGTTCAGTTATTTTGTTTTTATATCTCAGCATTTGGATAAATAATTATAGATCTTCTTTTTTCTCTCTCTCTTTGCCCACTTTGACTTTATTACCTAGGATGTCAGCCCTCAGGCTAGACTGTATTTTTCTTTCTGCTACTTTTCTAAGTTTAAGGAACACTGTTCAGTCAGAACTCAACAGCAAACTGTCCCTAGCACTTTCAAGAAGTGATAAGTTAGGAAGGCTTTTATTTGCAACAAAACATCGATTTACAGAGTCTGTTTTTTCTCACATAACAAAAGCTCTGCAGATAGATGGCCTCGGGCATTGATTCAGTACCTTAAAAGTCTTCAGTGCCAGCATCCATACAGTTCTCTTAGTTTTGTCTCATGATTGCTCCAGTTCTGAGCTTCACATTTGCATTAAGACAGGAAGAACAGGGCAAAGATTTCTGGCAGTGGCCACTCCTTCTCTTTTTTAAAATACACAAATACTTCCTCAGAGCACCCTGCCCCCAGCAGTCTGTCAGGACATTTATTGTCCTGAACTGTATTATATGGCTATGCTATGCTGCATGGAGGGTGAGAAAGTGAGCATATAGCTTGCCCAGCTTATAAAGTGGAAGAAGGGGATTGGGAATAAAGTCAGCTCCCAACCCTAGTCATAAAGGTAAGGGGAAATAGCATTCACTTTCTGTATAGAGAAGAGATGGTGATACTTTGATCTTCCTGGGACAAAAAAATATGTATAGCATCTTGAGGAACTGGGGTGAGTTGAGGAAAGAAGGTGAGTCAGATTGGCAATAGACAGTTTAGAAAGCCTGACCCAGTTAGAGTGAGTCCTTGTTTGTCTCATTATACTGTAAACTGTGTGACTATCTGGAAAAATAGAATCAAATTTTGGTGGACTTAACTTTGTGGGTTAAGATTATTTCTTTTCAATGCTGAAACATCTAAACTCAGTACAACTGGGAACCCAGTTTTTAGGTTTTCCCATGATTTGGTCCAGGGATCCATGCACTATGGCTTTGAGCTGTAGGGTGCCAACCATATCTGTCACACCCTCTCCGGTGTGTGTTATCTATGGCTATTTTTGTTCCTACCACAGAATAGTTGCAACAAAGACCCTGTTGCAACTAAAGACCTAGCATGGAATATTTACTATCTGATCTTGTACAGAAAAAGTTTTGCTATCCATGATCTGTTTTAGGAGCTAAAATGTGGGTTCAGCGGGTTCAGTTGCTGCCTGCAACATAGCAACCCATATGAGCACTGGTTCAAGTCCTGGCTGTTCTACTTTATATCTGGCTCCCTGCTAATGTCCCTGGGAAACCAGGGGAAGATGGCCCAAGTGATTAGGCCCCTTGCACCCATAGGAGAGACCTCAATGGAGTTCCTGGCTTTGGCCTTACCCAACACTGCCTGTTACAGCCATTTGGTGAGAGAACCAATGGATGGAAGATTTCTGTCTTTGTAACTCTGCCTTTTAGGTAAATAAATCTTTACCAAAACATAAAATAAAATAATAAAATAAAATAAAATATAAAATAGAAGGAAAAGGCATGTAAATAATGGTAAATATTTAGACTTGTGGCATAGTTAGACCTATTTTTCTTTTCTTTTTTTTTTTTAAAGATTTATTTATTTATTTGAAAGTCAGAGTTACACAGAGAGAGGAGAGGCAGAGAAAGAGAGAGATGTCTTCCATTTACTGGTTCACTCCACAATTGGCCGCAATGGCCGGAGCTGCGCCCATCCGAAGCCAGGAGACAGGAGCTTCTTCCAGGTCTCCCACGTAGGTGTAAGGGCCCAAAGGTGTGGGCCATCTTCTACTGCTTTCCCAGGCCATATCAGAGAGCTAGATTGGAAGTGTAGCAGCTGGGACTCGAACTTCTGCCCATATGGGATGCCAGCATTCCAGGCAATGGCTTTACCTGCTACCCCACAGTGCGGGCCCCAGACCTATTTTTCATATGGTAGAAAGAGATTGGGTGTGAGCATTTTTTCTTTATTGTGAATGAGGCCTTTTTTTTTTTAAAGAAAATTATTTATTTATTTGAAAGAATTATAGAGAAAGAGAGAGATCTTCCATTTACTTATTTAACCCCCAAATGACTACAACAGCTGGGGCTGGGCCAAGCCAAAGTCAGGAACCAGGAGCTTTATCTGGATCTCCCAGGTGGTTGCATGGGCCCAATTGCTTGGATTGTCTTCCTGCTGCTTTCCCAGGCACATTAGTAGAGAGCTGGATTGGAAGTGGAGCAGCTGGGACTCAAAACAGTGCCTACATGGGATGCCGACACCACAGGTGGCAGCTTCAGCTGCTGTGTCACAATGCTGGCCCCACGAATGAAGGTGGAAATAAATGTTAGACCATTAGCAGAAAGGTCTAGTAGGCATGATTTGTTTAAGTTTTTTTTTAGTCACCAAAGATAGATGGTGTGTATATATATATATATATATATACACACACACACATACACACACACACACACACACGTAACTTTATTGTCTGCAATGGGAGAAAAATGTTATGGTACAAAGCAGTGACATCCATGGTTTTTATTCTGAGTAGATGGTTCAGGTACAATCTCCTTTCCCAGAATAAACCTGTCAAAGGTTAATACAGATGATTTTCTAGTACATAAAAATCTATAAAACTTAGAAAGATAAAATGAGGCTATAATTTTAAAACAATGGTTTTAACTATAGACGCATTTACCTATCATACATGAATGATTCAGACTCTTTCATATACAGGAAATCCGATAATTCCAACTCATTTTAAAGTTTGTTTCAGTGTGAGGAGCTCTATTCATGAACTGTGATTTTTGGAATTCTAAAGATGTGTGATACCAAATTGGTGGGCTTTTTGATTTAAAAGTTTTAATAATTTCACTTACTGATCAAGTATAAAAACACAAACCATTGCTTTACTACAAAATAAATTTTTACATGTTTGCATTAGGATAAAACTTTTGGAGGATTTGTTCATATAGAGAATTAAGTTCATTATTAAAACATCCAATGTGTTGGTCTTTGAACAAAAAAGTTTTCTTGAGAATTTAGCCATAAAAATTAATATGCTGACCGGCGCGGCGGCTCAATAGGGTAATCCTCCGCCTTGCGGCGCTGGCACACCGAGTTCTGGTTCCTGTCGGGGCGCTGGATTCTGTCCCGGTTGCTCCTCTTCCAGTCCAGCTCTCTGCTGTGGCCCGGGAGTGCAGTGGAGGATGGCCCAAGTCCTTGGGCCCTGCACCTGCATGGGAGACCAGGAGAAGCACCTGGCTTCTGGCTTCGGATCAGCGCAGTGCACCGGCCGCAGCGCGCTGGCCTCAGTGGCCATTGGAGGGTGAACCAACGGTAAAGGAAAACCTTTCTCCCTGTCTCTCTCTCTCTCTCTGTCCACTCTGCCTGTCAAAAAAAAAAAAAAAAAAAAAAAAAAAAAAAAAAAAAAAAGAAAGAAAAATGAATATGCTATTTACGAAGCTAACCAATGTGATGAACCTTGTCAATGTTTGGCTTGCCGAATGATTATGACAGGAGAGAAATTTGAAGCTTAAATTGTCCAATGATTCTGAAATATATTAACATGTAGAAATATA